TCACCTCAAGGAACTTTTCGCAACCTCTTCGCTGTTTTCCCCGGCTATCTGTCCTTGTCAGCGATCAATCGACCTCCTAAGTAGTTATCCCACCGAGGTGGGGCATTGTATTGATCAGTCTCAGTAATTTCATCCACCAACGTGGTCTCTTCTGTTCACTATTTCGCAGAAGTTTCGTGAGGACTGCCGTTCTAGAAAATGTTTCTCTTATTTCAAATTTGAATTTTCATCGAAATTTCAAAAACCTCGTTTTTGGGTGACAAATTGCTTCATCATTGATTAACGTTCGTTTTCTTGATAAATCTTGCATAACAGAATGAAGATTTTCTTTGAACAACTGATTCCGCTATAACGCTCTGGCCTTGAAGAGCTCGAAAATCCTCAGCTGTAACCCTAAACTTATTACGTTACAAAGGGAAGCGTGACTAACATTTTGTAGAATAGTTTATTTGAGCCTCGTATTGGGACCCACTCCATTCAAACAAGTTGTAAAATCTCAAGCACATTCGGCTCGTAATCAGTTGACGATGTGCGAAAAAGGTCCTAAGGTAATAAGCGCAGGTACCGCCGAGGTCGGCAGCTGCGATCGGATGGAGGCCTTCGTGCAAACGATAACGATGGAGAAAGCAACTATTACAATATATTTGTTCTGGTATGGAATTGGTAGGTACCCAGGATGAGCGTATACGCAGAATTATTGGCGATTCCCCGGGAAACCAAAACCGTTTGAACAGTCACCATTTCTGCACATCGTGAAACCATTCGATTGTCTTCAAGTACAAGAATTCAGCTGAGCGATTCTTAGTAACTCCCATGATCTGGCGGTTCATGGGGAATTACTAAGAAAACGAACTTTGATGAATGTTGGTGCAATTTGTTATCCAAGGAACGAAATTTTTGAAATTTAATGAAAATTCAAATTTGAAATAAGAGAAACATTTTCTAGAATGGCAGTCGTCACGAAACTTCTGCGAAATAGTGAAGAGAAGAGATAACGCTGGTGGATGATTTAGCGAAACGTTGCGAAAAGTCCATGAGGTGATTTTGATATGAATAGATAGCATTTTACATTTGGATATGATTGGTGTAACTTCGACTGGGATTTTCCTCTTATGGACACGTGAATTTTGCATTGTAGTGAAGTCTTCAACTGGCACCCGATAGCAACAACCATTCTAGAATATGCCACTGCTTTCCACCAAGTCGTTGGGATGCACGGGACGTTGTCTACTCTCTTTTATGGAATTCATGGGGCCACACAGAGCTAGAAATGTTGGAAAACGTTGAAAATCGAGTAATTGTCCCGGTATCGCACCAAGTGCTCATTTCTAGTAACTAAAAGCCCTTCTTTTTGACTTCATTCTTGAACTTCGCGAATATTGGGAAAAACAGGGCTCCATTGTGCTCCGAACTAAACCAATGCCCGAGATTTTTCGGACAGAAAAAGCTATATCGTCCGAAAATGACATCGAGCGAAACCCCTCCTTTTTCAGGAAAATGGGCATCGTAATGATCAGCATCATTTAGGAAACACAACTATCTAAATTTAATCACTTTTTTTGGCGATACAGTACGTTATAGTACGCGACTGCGAAAATTGAAGTTATCGGATCGGGATGTAGTATGGCTCATTCGATAGAGCTTGAAAAATTGATATAGGGGTTCCGAGGTTATTTTACTTGTTTTAGGGTTCTACGGTGTGTTATGGGTGTTCAAAGATGAAAATCTAGTGTGAGGGTCAGAGGGGGGTGTTTTTGGAGAAATATCACTATATCTCGTGAGACACAGGTGGTGAGAGGGCCAAACCCTGGCCAGAGCAGGGTGAGGTCTTGGTCAACAAATTCGACCAATCAGAGATATTGGGGGCGGGGCTTAGAGAGCGCAGCTGGCTGTCGGGCGGCCGAGCGTGCCTTCCAGCCGGCGGCTCGGTGGATTATGGAGCGTGGCGATGCACAGGATCATGTAAACAGCGTGAATTTCTCAGAAAGGAGTAATGTTTGCAGTGGGATAGTTCTTGTAGTTTCCATAGGAATTTCTTCTAGGGGAAAATTTGCCTAATTGCATTATTAAAGAGTTTTGTGTTTCTATATGTCTGGGTATTGGAAATATGCCTTCAAACAAATAATAAGGAACTTCCGTAGATACTCTTATGAATATGCTCTGCGGAAATAAAGTTCTCTTGCTTTTGTAGACCACACTGATGAGGCCCATTGAAGAATTTGGCTGTCTGTGGTTGAAAGGGCGAAACAGCCGTTTGATAAACCGTGTTATTATTCGTGTATTTCAGGTGACAACTTCATGTTTGCCTCTCTTTCAGCTGTGAGGTGAGCAATGTATGGAAAACCTTTCTGCATAAAGTTGTTAGCTTGTTAGTTGATTGCACTGGCGTATAGCGCCCAGGTGTAGCACCTGAAGATACTACCGCTCACATGGGTACCTGAGGATAGTCGTATACAAGGGAGGGGAAGGCATGATTACTCAAGAGTTCAACCTGCGCTCAGTAGCCCAGCATACTTGTCACTTATAGTGACGCTTATATTTGTTCTTATTAGTGAAAAATACATTCTGTCTCCAGGTTTGACTGCTTTTAGAAGTTCCTATTACGTGAACTTCAAGCTCTTATTTGTCATCCTATTCTCTGTGGGTTTGTGTTTCGTTTTCTTTGTAACGTTGTATTTTCTGTCAGGGAGTGTATAGGACGTTGGAGAATGTTGATGTAATTGTAATTTTCATTGTAATTTTGTAATTTTCCGTGTAATTTTCAGTGGAAAAATGTACGTTCCACCAGAGCTGGTTGACGATGACGAGCTCACTGAGTACAAAGAGAGACTGGACAGAGTCATATTATTAAATATTATGGTAGTAGCCACAGTGTTGCTCATTGTGCTCTTTTGTGTGATGGTGAGTTTGATACTAGATCATTTGCATACGGCAGGATTGTCTTGTTGCCTAACCCTTCAGGTAAGGCAACAATTGATTAAGATGAGAAAGGACATCGGTTTTAGAAAGAAATTTTGAGCCTTAGACGCTATGGCGAGGGCCAAAATTTCGCAACGCTCAGCAATTGGCATGTGCTGATTCCAATGCCAAACTTCACTTTGCTTTGAACTTCATCTCCAACCGAGTTCTTCTACAGTTGAAGAAGCCGCCACAAATTCAAGTCAAATTAACCTTACCTTGTTCACTTCCCAAAATTTGCATCACCCCAATTGATGTGCCCCCTAATGGTGCCATGCGCACCGACGGTGCCCGTCGACGCCACACACAGCTCGCCGCGGCTGCTTGAAATCGCGGTGCTGCTCCAGCATGTTCATGGGTATCCAGTTCGCGTCACACTTAACCGATGAAGCTCAAAATTTAGGAACGGTTCCCCCACCCAAAGTCACGCCTACGTGCGACATGCGGTTCTTTTCTGATGCCTAAAACTCACCGATCTTTCTATTACCCTTCTTTGATGACGGACCAACATCAGCTTTAAAAAAAAGCCCTCGCTCATTACTACAAGGGTCTACCGAACTCTTTGTTTATCTTTGTCGCTTTGAACAGCAATTCAATGTAGAAAATGGCGAAACACTCAATGAGGAATAATTTATTAATCTCTATATATTTCTATAATACGTGTCTCAACAGTGTCAGTGTTTCTTCATTCGTCAGTCCTGTTCCTTCCACACACCGCATCACGACATTGCTTCTGAATCAGTATAAGTTAGCTGAGCAACAAAAGCGATAGCGTGCACGTGGTGACCACTCCAGAATTAACTGAACATCTTACGCTGAGTACCTTTTTGCAGATATTTGGCGATATTTAGCTGGAAGAGAAGGGGTCCTTCTAGTATGGTGGGAACTTAATCGCATTGTTGATTTTCGTCGCTCCGTATAGAATGGGCGTTATGGCCGAAACCAGCACGCCTTCCGCAACTCTGAGGGGTGCAGATTTCGCTAGGTTACTCTGTCTATTATGATTCGACCACTACCGCGCAATATGAGCAGCTCATACAATTAACTAATTCCATCCCGTTATGATGTGCGCAGCCAGGCCAGCTCGGCGAAGCCGAGCTAAAAAGAAGGAGGAGAGCTCGGCGTCAGCCGGGCGATCCGACTGGTCACTATTATAAAGTACCAGAAGCAAAAAGTAATAATGAGAATAAATTTTCATTCCCAGATCGAATACTATCCGCAGTAAGCTGCACACAGTGAACTTTTCCGTATATCACAAACGATACGAGGGTTTAGGGGAAAGATAGATTCGACATGGAGAATCAAGGAAACATAATTATAATAATCATAAAGCATATACAATATGAGAAACACCGATATCCGAGGATGATGATGATGATGAACGGATGGATGAATGAATGAGTGATCAGTATGGATGAAAGAAAAAATCAATGATAAAACCTTGTCAGCATTCGTTTTCACGACACTCAATACATACATACATATACAGACGCTAATAATTCGAATTGTAATCGTCCAAAACATGTCTCTTTTACAGGAATGATATGCACCCTAAGGCACCTAAAAAATCGATAAGTTTTTCTTCATCTCATCTCTCTGTTTTTCTCTATCTCCCTCTTTTCCTATTCATCATCTTCAATCAATATAACTATACGCACAATGACGTCACGTCAATTTTGCTAAAACTATGTTCTCATTTGTTAAAATACTCAAAATAATCTATCTATAATACATATTAAATATGTTAATATAGCATGAGAAAAAATGTCGATGAAACAATCAATCGATACGCAATAGTCGATTAGGAATGAATAGTTTAAACCGTAATAAAGGACCCGTAATATAATAAGGATGAACATTCTGCCAGCCGGCTAATACGAGGGTGGCGCGGTCCTGGCAATCAATGTTCATCGACGTCGTGACTGCACAATAATAAGAAGATCAAACTGGTCAATGACGGACTGATGACATCAACGATCGATATGAAATATGAAATAGGACCAAGCATCATGATAGCTCAAGAAGGAGACGAACGTTGCCACTCACCGAAGGCAATTCACCTGAAATGCATATCTTTAAGTACAAGATAGGACCATAGCCCGGGCTAAATGTAGCTCTAGATAAAGGAATTTGAATGTATCACAGCCTTGTACCCTATTATTCCTTGCTGAAACTCTCCACCAGCAAAAATGGAGCGTTACTATTGAGTCACGGCTACAAAGTATTTTCTAGATGGCTGACTAGACAGACAGAAGCACCGAGAAAATTAGGCGACTCAAGACCGCGTTCATAATTTGCGTCAGCGTCCACCGGCGTTTCACGCCAGCGCCAGCTAGGAGGACAGAATAGATATCGACAGCGAACGGCATTTATCAGCGTCCACCAGCGTACAGCAGCATTTTCACGGACAGTTTTTGCTCAAGTTCGAAAGTCCCCGCGAGAACTCTGCTGTACGCTGGTAGACGCTGCCGCAAGGTATGAACGAGCCTTAACAAATTTGAAGCTCCCAGGGTTCATGAAAGATGAGCGTGAACCGCTGGCGTTCGCATACCGATACCTATACTTCTCTAGAACCCTCGAGGCGGTGGTGGACGCTGGCTAGTAGCGCTGGCATACGCCAGATCGATATCCATACTTTTCTAGTCGCTGGTGGGCGCTAGATCGATATCTTCGCTTTCCTAGTCGTTGGCGCTGGCGTACGCTAGAAACACTGGTGGACGCTGAAGCATGTGAACGCAGCCTAAGAGACGCAGACAGAGAGAGAGAATCTAGAGTCGACACGCCGCAACACTGCTACGTAGGTTGGGTCCTGGTGCGAATACTACGCACTTCACGACGCTTGCAACGCCTCTTTCGCCGCGACTCGGAAGTGACGCTTCACATCAGCGAACCAGCTGCGGTGGACGACTGTGCAGTTCCATGAAGCGACGAAGATTGCGTAGACGCAACGCGTCGCACTTCAGAAATGAAACCCGTCTATAGCAACCAGGTCCTGCTCCTCTTTAGTTGACAGGTACATGGCTTTCTGGTTAGTAACTGGCTCATCCTGACTACCCCAACCCCCCCCCCCACCCTAAGCCATTACACAGGCGCATTGGAATCTTCTAGCCCATCAGGAATGTAGATGTGTAGCGATTCTATTAAAAGTCGCCGCAGCTGTGGGACCTGCGACGTTGCAGCCGTTGCGTACGAGCACTTTTTCCATGACCTCTTAAATTGTCAACGGAATCCATTCCACTGTCTAGCAAGCCGTGCAAAAAACAAATCTTTTACTCAAAGGCAACGCGTAAAGGCCCAGACAATGATTGCGTCAGCAAAATCCCCGCTTTCAAAAACGTTGCACACAAATCTACACTTACTGCGAACTGACCTTCTTCTGTTGCTTTTTTCTTTGTCGGACTCGCTCAACGACTTGCTCTTCCAATTCATGGTCTCTTAGATAATCGAGACCCAGTACGGGACGATTTCCTCGCTCAACAAGGATTTCATCCAGTGCAGCCCAACACTGTCGATTAAGCGTTATCGCCTCGAATGTTGATTGACCTTCTGGTACAACTTTCGCCACCATTCTGAAACGAGCACCTTTACTGAAAATTCAATAACACTGCTCATATTTTTTTTATTTGTTCGTAATGCCTCTCTCAACAGAGCCTAGAGATCGGGTGGGGGGGGGTGGACTGGATGAGTGCTCGTCAACTCGGACAAGCGAGTAGTTTCACTCAAAAACCTCAAGTATCAGTCGCGAATGGAAAGTATTTGTCAGCTCCTCAAAATTGCGAAGATTAGGCGGTCAGCTGAGCCTGACCCGAGTGGGCGTTACCATCTGATACGGATAGTGGTCATACCCGTAGCTGAAAAAGTGCCTCTTTCTCGCCTCAGAAGTCCACGCAAATGTAGGTCAGCGTCAGTGTCTTCTCCTTCTTGCTACTCTCGTGCTGCAGTTTGTGTTTGAAGGATCTGTGTCTATAAAGGTGCTACAGTACAATCCGCACTCAAAGGCAGCCAATAATCAGAAATGAGAAAAATAGAGGGCGCGACCATAGCCAAGCGTGAAGCGGGCCGTGCAGCAGCACAGGGAGTGCTTAAGCATCACTATCATCCAGCACCTTTCCGTGCGCTTTTGACCAGAGAAAGAAGCACGCCTTTCTCCTTTGAACCCTTTCACCTCACAGACAGCAGGGATCAGGGCCCACGAAGATGGATGCAAGGCTTTTCTCCAAGAAACATCTACCGAAATTTTACGATCACCGCTCGACAACTTTTCAACAGGGGGTCGCTAACTTATCGGAAGCACTCTGGAATTTGAACGGTAAAAGACCGCTCTCATCTGTCGAAGTGGTGAATCAGAGCTCTAGACGGTAATTGCATCTCCATAGATTCACAATGTTTCCCATTCCAAGAATATTAGAAAATAAAAATATAGGAATTTATTTGCTTAATACTCAATACACTGTACATGAAGAGCGAGAGCAGCCGATACGGCCTAACATTTGTTCAACACGAACTGAACGGCATCGATGTTATCATTAGCGAATAACGACGAACAGAGGCAGAAGTAGTACTGCCACCGTCAGTGGAATGTCTCTGAGTATCCAAGAGCCAGCGTGTTCTTCATGCACGTCACCCATGGCCTGAAAAAGAGTTGAGTTTAGGGTAAGAATTGAATTGTTATATCCTCACAAATTTTCTTAAGGCACATGTCCAACATGATCGGGACGGCAGGAGGAATGGACGGAGATTCTCCATAGCTTGACAATTTCAGTGGCGCGCACCTCCTTCTTATGTTGCAAAGGGGGAAGGACGCGCCAATGAAGCGTGCTGCTGGTCTGTGTTTAGTTCTCCGCCCATTTGATTGTCGTAGAATGTGATCTCAGTCGTAGCTCTATGCCATTAACTTTGAGTACTTTTTTGCTGGGGTCATACAGATCTAGTAACCTTGAGTACTTTTTTGTTGGGTTCACACAGATCTAGTGAAGCCACAAGGATAGTATACAAGCCCAGAACATTGGAAGCCCTCAGAAATCCCGTTTTTAAAAAGCTCACTCTCACGAAATACTCAAGTCTATGGTATCTGTAGCAGTTCTCACCTAAACCAGTGATCCAGTGTGGTGACGTAGTATTGGCCGATATGGTGCTATTCTGCGAGCTGCAAATTATCGGGGAGGGCAGCATTGATAACACCTAAATATAAAAGGCTAATCATGCAGAAATTCCCCGTGTTTAACTTCAGCTCATTGACTGACCTTGATGAAATCGGGTGACTTGGAGTACTATTTCTACTTCTCTTAGTACTTCTCGCAGTAGGCGTCGGGCAGATGATAGCCTGAAAATAGTCCATGTAAATTTTTTATTGATCTTCTTCTTACAACTGACGTGAAGGGGAGAAAAGCAGAAAAATCCTTGAAAAAAGGTTCCGCTATCGAGCAACTCTTGGAATTCTCTCCTTGTACTATTAGTCTGGCCTCTTTCTCCAAAATTATCGCTCCTTTGCGGTTTCACAATAAGTGACGAAGGCGAGGCGCCTTGACCCTCACAATGGCATCTTTGACGTCTTTTTACCGGGCTCCTGAAGTCAAAAGCTATTTTCTGTCACAAGTTCAGCTTTTACATCAGGTACAGAGTTTCCAAAAAGGTGCGGATAACGACATGTGGGGAAAATATTCTTATCGAGCTCGCTCACCGGATCGCTGCAATGCTTCCACGCTAGTTTGAGATTTTCACGTTGAAAGTGATGGTAAACCATGATCATCGTGGAAGACATTAAAAACGTTCATCATTATTGTGTATAAGGATCCGTTTATGATACCGCGTACAGGGGCGTAGCTGCCCTTTGAAAAAGAATCTGAAGGTCTAGCCACTCCAGTTTTTGCAGGTGCCTTCATCTTTCAGCCACTTGCATTGTGAATGCCATTGACTGTTGAAGGATCGTGTGCAAGCACATGGAAGCCGCGCCGCGCAAAGTGCCGCGCCGCGCACAATTGATCGATCAAGATGGCAGCCGGAGGATCTCACTCAATCAGCGTTGGCACCGGTCTCCACATGGAAATACTCTGCGTCTTAACGGCGCCGGCAACGTTCTCGGGGCGCGCCGGCAACGTTCTCGGGGCACAGCCAACGCTGCCACCACAGCGCCAAAACCCAGTCCCTCTGATTACAATCATAGCGAGACTCGCTCGCTAACGAGTGTCCTCAGGTACTTCGATAGGAAGCAGAGTTCAATTTTCGACTTTTCCAGTTTTTTAGGATGCCAGCTTATAGAACTCGACGAGCTCAGTCTAACAGTGTAGAATTTTATATGAGAAAAGTTCACTCAAATTGCCAATAACAAAAAAAAAACGAAAAAACGCGGTTGTGCTTTTTTCGTTTTTCCGTTTCGTCAGCGATTCTATGGAGCTAATGTGAGCTTTCCAGGATCATTGGCCATAAC